GTTTTCACACAGTCAAAAGAGAGCTTTTTAAACTTTACTTTTATGCTCCAAATTTTAATGGTCTTCCTGATTATTTAGAAGGTGTTAATCACATTAAGAATAGTGACTTATTGCCTTGCTTAGGGCAAGTGTCCTCTTTTTTTTCCTTGATGGGGGGGAAAAAAAGAATACAGTAACAATAAAATAGTGATTTACTAGAGGACTATTATAAATATGAATCTCTTTGTTAGTTATAAATTACAATAATAATCTCTGACATCTCTGATTAAGGTGCAGAAGATCCTGCCTTTTAGGTGCTTGAGGCTGAGAGAACTGTAAAAATTGAGAATGGCATCCCAGTTTCCTATATTGTTCATGAGAAGAGTCAGAACCTTTGGAGTGGATGCTAAGGGAGAAAGCACACTACACACATGCAGGCAACTATGAAGAAAACATTGGCCATGCTGGCAGACGAGTTCTGAATTTTATTTAACATGTTTGGACTATATTCCCTTCCTGATGATTAAATCGGTGAAGTCCTCTGCTGGGTGTAGCCATTAATATTTATTCAGTGTTTTAGTACTTTTACTGTCAGCAGAAGTGGTAGTATTCTCTCATACTGAAACACTAAAATATTAATGTGTATTCAGTAGGATCTGGCAGTTCATATTCTCCACTGTAGTGCTTCTGTCATGAAAAGAAACTTAGAGAAATCTCTCTAACTGAGGAAAATTACAATTCTATTTAAAAAGACAAACTTAAGGTAGTAAGTCTCTCTAATCAAAACTGCTCTTGTGAAGTTCATCAGAATTTTAGTCAGAATTAAAGAGTGGAAGAAGGAGAAAAAATGCTTTCAGATAGATTCAGTAAAGTCCTGTCCTTGTGGCACAAGGGACAGTTATTGAAGTTGCCAGCATACATCAGGAGAAAATAGCAGCATGCTTGGGTAAAAGTTGCATCCTAGTTTCTAAGGATTATAAGTCTAAATATGGAAAAAGGTTTTGAAACATCTCATTCCAATCTAAGCAAGCCATGTAATGCAGAGACATTTTGAGCAGTAAGTGTTGTGATAACATTTAGTAATTCACTTTGACAAAGAACACATAACCCAAGACCCACATTCTTTCTGGCTCTACAGAGGTGTTGTAGCAGTCCTGACCAACACACTTAGTCCTGCATGCAGATGATGAATCTTCTGCTCCTTCTCAGGATGCCCAACAGCCTGATCAATATAGAAGGAAATAAGCTCTGGAAACGTTAATTCTAAAGCACTACTTCCCAATTCTGGGCAAATTCATACAAAGGTTACCACAGACCACTTGCAAGTCCTTCTACTTAAAGTGAATATTAGCCACAAAAGCTGTATCTATATTAACAAATTAATCATGTATGGCACTGTTTTTTGACACTATAGCCAGCTGGCAAGGACCAGACCACATCCATTCTATGAAACTCTTTATCCCCCTAACACAGGGTGCTCACATGCAACAGCTCATTACAAATGCTCCTTCGCCCATGGTAACTGTCACGCTACAACAGGAATTGTTTGGGAGAGTGCTAGATGGTCCATTTGGCCCAAATCCATGGTAGTGATCATTCTAAAATAAATTAAGAATATAAATGATGGCACTCCACTGTCTGGGAATGTTCTATGATATTTAGCCCTTGTGAATGTACAGACTGAACAATTTGAGTTTAGCCAAGAATATGGAACTAAACCCACTTAAGAGACCCTGAGTGATGATACTGTCCTGCAAACAGGCATTACTATCTGCCTGGATTTATCTCTGACCAATGAGAGATAAACTTCTTCTTCTTCTTAAGTAGAAACACAGAATAATTCTATCATCTCCTCAATTTTCCTGAAAAGAATGACATGAACTCAGTCTCTGCCATGGAAGAACAGGAAATGCAGAAGAGGGAACACTACAGTAGAAGAGCCCAGGTTTCTTTTCTTCATTATTTCATTAGGTTTCCTGAGCTATCATGCTACCTATCAATCTCTGAGAATATAATCGCTTCAAATCCTGTTAGCTTGCCCTTTTGCCATCCAACTCATTCTCCAAGGAAAACAGATTTATAATGAAAGTAGCATGTGAGGTACTATAGAAGGGAAGAAGTTTGAAGATGATAACAAAGCACCAGAGTAACTTTGTTTAAGTTGCCACTGCTTCAGTAATATCTTTGAGGTTTGTACAAATGTGTCTAGAAACATGCACTGCTAAAATGGAGACATTTATGATGCTGGCATAAAAGCTGAACAAAACCTTGAGTCTCTACAGAGGTTCAATGTAGTAGTAGTAGTGAGAAGCTGCTTTGCTTGCTTTTATTTGCTTTTATATTTAGCGAAACCATGGTTAAGTCCTCTAGTACCTGCTGCAGAAAACTAGAATGTGGTGAAGATTAATGCTCCAGTGTCAGAAGCTGTAATTTCATTGCAATGATTTTTCTACTTCCATTTTTTATTATTTACAGGTTTTAGTCAGCTAAAGAACCCATTTGAAACATTTGAACACTTTATAAGCTTGACCGTTTTTACAGACAATAAAGTAATAACTGAATATGAATAACGTGGTAAACACATAAATGATATTCCAATATCACTTAAACTGGAATTGCCTCTCTGCTGGCATGTCCTCTGTTAATACAGACTGAGAAATGAGGATTTAAACCTCTTCCTGGACTGTTTGGAGAGCTGGATAATAAGAAAAAAAACAGCATCTTTGTACCCTTTTCTGTGCTTCCACACAACAGTGCCAGGAAGGCATTGGTTTAGGTTTTACTGCTTTGTGGACTGACTCCTAACTAACTTCTGCTACATGGCTGAAAAGAGAAAAAAAAATATCTCTGCATTGGTATACAGGAAGAGGGGATAAAGAAGGGGAAAAAAGAAAAATGGCTAAAAATGAGTGAATGAGAAGAGTATCAACACAGGAAAATGGTAGAAGAAATGAAAACAAGAAGGACCTTTAAATTACAGAAAACTATATGGCATAGATTCTATACATTTCTATTCAAACTGTATAATAAAATCTTTGGGATCAGTCACAAGGAAAAGTCATCCTGGCTCCAACAGGGTTACTTCTCAGAGAAGAGCTACCTTGGTGCTTACTGTTTTCCAGGCTCAAGGCCTGAAGTAATCAGAGGTTACCAGAAAAAAAAAGAAATGCGCATGTCAAAAGTAAGATTTTTCATCTCTCTCAAAGGCTGACTGTGCTCTAAGAGCATTGTTCATAATATGCCCTCAGTGCAATGTCTTCACAGAGTGACTAACTTTTCCTGTTAATTCTCTCCCTACATGACCACTACTAAAGAGTCAAAGTCTGCACACACTTGGTAATTAAAGAACATACCACAGTGATGGGACATGTTGCATTTGGGATGTTCTACTCCTTGACAAAGACTCCAGACCTCACAGCCAACATAGCAGTAAAAGAACTCCTTTCACTTTTCTGTTCCAGATTGCTAGCAGAGAGGTTTTCTTCAGACTATAAATTTGGTTTCTTATTTTTTCAAGTCTCTGATGAAAATAGTTTCTGAATTTTATGCAGCTGTTCCATCTGTAATCTGCCTCCCTAAGGAAAGTATAGTGCACCTATGTGACCTACAAAACCTAGGAAATGTACCATGTATGTCAGCACAAGGTCTTCCCAATGGGAAACACTTTTTAAAGATATGATCTTTCATACTTCTTTTTTGATACTAGTCTGTCTGTCTAGATGAAATTTCAAGAAAGACCAAATTACCTTTTATGTAATTTTGACACATAAAACCCCAAGCCAAGATACACAGGAAAGCACTTCAGATGAGTGGAAAGAGAGAAATTTTTTTCATCTCTTTTTCATCTCCTTTTCTTCTCCTCATGTTTTAGATTGAGAAATGCTGAGCATCTGTAAAACTGTTTTTCACTGGTTTTAAAACAGAGAGAAGACCATATATATTAATTCTGAATGAATTCAGAATTAAAAAATAAATAGAATGTACAATAATGTCTCTATCCAATTTGCTACTCATAGCTTTAACTTTCTAAATATATTTCATTATCTCTTCCCATTTATTACAGTTATGGCAAACTGAAGAAATTGGAAAAAATAAGACAAACATTTTCAGAATACTATTGCATATTAAGGACATGCACCTGTTGGATCGAATCCAGAGGAAGGCCATGAAGATGATCAGGAGGCTGGAGCACCTCCCCTGTGAACACAGGCTGAGAGAGTTGGGGTTGTTCAGCCTGGAGAAGAGAAGGCTCCAGGGAGACCTTATAGCAGCCTTCCAGTACGTAAAGGAGGGCCTACAAGAAAGCTGGAGATGGACTTTTTACAAGGGCTTGTAGTGATAGGATAAGGGGTAAGGGCTTTAAACTGAAAGAGGGTAGATTTAGATTGGATGTAAGGAAGAAGTTCTTCACTGTGAGGGTGGTGAGGCACTGGAACAGGTTGCCCAGAGAGGTTGTGGATGCTCCATCCCTGGAAGTGTTCCAGGCCAGGTTGGATGGGGCTTTGAGCAACCTGGTCTAGTGGAAGGTGTTCCTGCCCATGGCAGGGGGGTTGGAACAAGATGACCTTTAAGGGCCCTTCCAACCCAAACCATTCTATGATTCTATGATTTTAAGGACTCTGCTCTCAGTCTTAGTGAAATCTTACATTGCAGCCACTATTACTTGCACCAACATATTTGCAAGCAACCAAATTGATCATTATTTCTTTAGCTTCTCAGTTAGAAAAAGAAATGTTATACTGGTTAAATGTGACATTAAAGTAAAGCTATAAAGCCCATACAGCATTATGGAGAAATAAAATAGTTTCCTAGTGAAAATCAGTTTATTTGCAATTTTGCCATGCCTTCTAGTTTGGCTTTGTATCTACTGACACCAGGACTTCTGATATTGACTTCAAAGGGAAAAAAAATTGATCTCCTTCTGCAAGGTGGTCACGTGCAGTTTCCAGTTGCAGCATTATGCTTTGGCTTGTCAGCTGGTCTGACAAAGTGGTAATTTATTTTATACTTTCTCATCATACCTTGAGAATTTTGCACATTATCTCATAAACTGAAAATGTTTTCTCAGCTCGTGTCCAATCCCAGGTTGTGACCTTGGAAAAAAAAACAACAACCAAACAAAACAAACAGGAAAAGAAAGTAAGTTATATTTGTTTATTTCAAGAATTAAGTTTATTAAAAAAAATTAAAATCTATCCCTAAATCATTTATACCCGGTATAATGCATACAGAAAGACCAAGCACTGTCTCAGAGCAATAACTACCAGGGACCAGACTGTTCCATCCAGGCAGCGCTTAGGAGACATCCTGCCTGTCTCCTTGTGCTTACAACACAGTGCCTTTGCATGCAGGCTGCTCTGTGCTGAATGATGAGGCTTACCCTGGGAACTGGTGGGGGTTGCATTAAGAACCTGAGAGGATACAGCCCTTGAATTCCTCTCACAGAGCCTTGACTATAAGAAGGCATGTTTCTCACCACTTCCCTCCTTGTAGCTGCATGCCACAATTTGCTCCCAGTCACCTACATTGTTTGCAAATCCATAAAACCAAATTGTCCAACCTTGCAGTGTCCCAGACACTTACCCCACATGCCTTGAAATCCAGGGGAAAAAAATAACAAGAAACAACAGAAGCAAATATACCTTTTCTTTTTTCTTACCAAGATTAATCAAGTCCTAAATTCTCAAAGACTAAGATTTGAAGAATAGTCTATCTCTCCTCTTTGTCTTACTTAGGGTTTGACAATTGCTTTTAACAATATTAATTTTAGGCAATTATTTTACACAAAAAATTGCATAGATAAAAGAGTTCCATAGAACCATGCAAGGATAAGGGTTAAGACATAAACAGGACAGAAAGGGATAGATGAATATATTCGGTAAGGGAAGAGTCAAGGCAATATCACAGCAATCTATAAATAACTTTCCAAGGAAATTGCAAGAAGGAAAGAGGACAATTATTCATAGTCTCAAAAGACAGAATAACACACAAAATAAAGTGAAAATTGAGGTTTTATATTAAAAAAAAAAAAGTCTTAATGGTAAGAAGCTTTGAACAGTGGCCCAGCTCTAAAGGAAGACAGTTGTATCATTACAATTGTTAGGCATGATGAACAGGCTGATGAAGACAGAATTTTATTTGGTTTTCAAGATTCAAGAATATAAAGTTCTTTGAAAAACATATCATATAACGGTATCCACAGCATATGAATAAAATATTTTATGAGACTAATTTATCTTTTATCTAAAGAGAAAACAATCATTAATAGACACAACATGGCTGAGAAGCATCTATGACTTTGGATGCCTTGGTATAAAACTTCCTTATTAAAAATATTTTGGTGCTGTATGAGAAAATTCTACCCCTAACTAATTTTTAGGTATAAACACTACTGTAATTGAAAGTCCATTGAGGAAATAACAGTCAGGAATGAAAAGTTCAAAAATACAGTGTCATAGTTCCTCTTCTATTAGAATTTTATTTATTTGCAGTCATCCTCAAACTTAGTTTTCACTATCTTATTGAAGTATGGGTATTAAACCAGATTTATAAGGAAGGGAATGACTAAATACTGAGAGTTAACAAATTGTTTGATATAGAATGAGCAAGTAAAGGAATATTGGAAATATACAATCTTTATGCCTGATTTTTAAGAAGCTCTTCAGATATGTGATAAACAACATGTAAAATGCTTTTGTCAGGGAAAGGAAGAAAGGGGAAAAAAAAAAAAAGCTGCTGTTTCCACTGTGGACAAAAAATTAACTTTCTCACCATGAACAGAGAAATAGAGAGAGGAGTCTTGCTACAGCTCCACTCAGCCCAAAACACCAGGCACACAAGCTGAAGTCATATTGCCCCATCAGGAAAAGTAGTTTCTATTGCTGCTGCAGCACAAAGCTGTTTGGAGCTATGTTTAAAAGCTTACTGTAGGCTCCATACTTTGGGGAAAAATATCAAGAGCTCCTCCTTCTCCCCTAGTTTTCTGCTTTTGTTTGTACTTATAAAGGGACTTCTTTTCAGGTCAAAACAAAACTCCTTCTATATATAATGTGTGCAAAACAAAAGCAACTGTAGAATTAAGACACCCACAGAAATTTCTTGCCCTGTTCACTTTAAATATTTTAATTTAAAAGCTTGAGTAACAAGACAAAAGGTGTTAGCAGCTTTCTCAGTTGAAGTCCATTCTCTCTGAGATTTCCAACTATAAACTGTAAGAAAGTGAAACCCTTCAGACTTGACATGCTTAATAATTCTAAAGGAGAAAATGTACCACGAAATAACATAAAAAGAGATAAAGTAATTTTGTTTAAAGCTTTCAAAATGCAAATAAGATATGTTAGAATTGCTCATTTATCCAAGCATGGAAAGTAGAAGTACTATTGATCAAACAGATAAAAAAAAGAGGCAGGGAGAGGCTGCTGATACACACTGTTTAAACACATGCTTCCCTAATGTGTTAGACTTTGGCAGAGACCAGGAAAATACTTTCATTTGATTTTCTGGTTAAAAAGTTGGCAGCACATATCTGTGCTGTGCATAACTTAATCCAAGGAGTTTACACTGCAAATATAATTAAAACTGTTTTTCTTCTCATAGGTACACTTTACACATCTCATAAATAGAAGCTCTGAAACTGTGGCATTGAAAGTTTGTTCTTAATCTTTTGTAATCCCTGGAAGAGATGAACACATATACCTGCAAAATAGCAAATGTAACTGTATGTGTAAAAGTTTGTATATAGAAATTAGGATTTTAGAAGTGCTTTTAAAAGGCCTACTGCAGTCTTTGATAAGAAAATTTTGCTGGGCATATAAGTGTTCAATTATTACATACATTACATGTTTTTAAAGTAGCTTTATAGGAACTCTTCCTCTGTTTGTCTTTTAAAAAGCTTGTTTGTCATTCTGCTTCCCTCCTACTCCATGGAGAGAAAATATTTTTCTCTATGTTTGAACTGTCTTTCTATTTTAGAATAAGAACCAAAAACTGGCAAAACAAAATCATGTTGTGTTTGCAGCTCAGCTGAAACAAGACCTATAAAGACTTCAACTATCGGTGGCTTGTCTCATAACAGCAGTAACTTGCCAAAATTGTCCTAACATCACTGTGGTTCGCAGCCATATTGCGAACATATTCCTCCCACAGCCATTAATCATCACCCATTACCTATTTACCCACCAGCAGCGTATTACTCCTGGAAACTTATGGTTGAATCCTCAGTAAAGAGGCTTGTAGTTCCTTGCATAGTGCTTACAAAAGAATAATCTTCCTCTTTTATATTGAACGTGGGCTCTCAGCATTGTTTCTGCTTCTATCTAGTGCCTAGAATGGAGGTGGCTTTATTTGACGGGCAGCAAATGCTCGGATAGGTCTGCCAAAGCCAGGAGAACTGCTTTTCAATTAAGGTGCTTGGCAGCATAATCTGATCCTGAAAAATACCTACCAACAAAAGCCAAACTCCCATTACTAACCATGGGAGAGCCAAACTCCCATACCAGTGAACAAGTGTACCAATATTGAACACACTGTTTTCAGTTCATACCTACTTCCATTCTTCATGTCTTTCACATGTTCTTAAACACTCTGCTAAATGAACATGAATAGTGACTGATGAATGATGTAAAGACTTGCAAGCTGTCTTTGAACTACATCAGGAACAGGTTGCCCAGACAGGCGGTAGATCCCCCATCCCTGGAAACATTAAAGGTCAGTTTGGAGGGGGCTTTGAGCAACCTGATCTAGTTGATGTCCCTGCTCATTGCAGGTGAGTTGGACTAGATGACCTTTAAAGGCCCCTTCCAACGCAAACCAATCTATGATTCTATGATTCAGGCAGGAAGGAGCTGCATTCTGGATCTGGCAACACAGGGTTTAGAAGCAGTCAGAAACATAACCCAACAAACAGAACAGATGAATCCACACCATTCTCCCTGCTGGTGGTATGGGACTGCTACTGGCTCCCTAGCTAATGGCTTAAAAATTAGCTAGAGACTATCTCTGTTTACTGTAGTTTAGATGTATCATGAAACCGTGAAAGTAAATTGCTGAGTATGAGACAACTGCTAAAATTTTGCCCAGTGTTGCCAGTCAGATTCCAATTAATATATTTAACCTAAGCAATTTCATTTGCTTCCCTACCTTCCTTTTGGTGCTCCCAAGCAGCATAAAAATTATATTCAGGATGAAATCTAGATACAGAGATATTGCCATTTCCACAGCATGCAAAAAGCTTTGATATTTCCCCAAATCTCAGCAGTTTGACTAGAATGATAGTTCAGTTGAAAACTAACCATCTTGCTTAAGGCTTGTTCTGCCTGCCAAAGGAAAATGAAAAGCCCCCTTTTAGCACAAATAGATTTCTCTTGTATTTTTCTAAGTGGTGGAAAAGAAATTCTTGTTAGATTCCCAGTCATCTGATGAACAGCCATTTTCTATCACTTCGACACCACATACCCTGGAACTTTTCAGTTCTGTAAGTTGCAATCCTGTTAGTTCAATGAGTGATATCTCATTGTGAAAGCTTTGTACATATTACATGAAATTATTTCATTTAAGAACATTTATTCCCACTAAGCGTGAGAAATATACTTACTGGAGGTGCTATAAATTTATACAGGGAAGATCCCCTCAGTGCTAGAAACTTTGGTGTGTACATTCGATCCTGAAGGGAGTCTTGTTCCCGTTCTTCCGTCCAGCCCATGTAGACTATCTGACAGAAAAATCAATAGTGTTGACAAACTCCTCAGACACTTTCTTCAAATGAATTGCAAATATTTCATGCAAGTAAGCTGATGTCTGTCAATTTTACATAGCGACAAACCTTGAACCACTGACACAATATGGTGTATTGGCAGTTCACTTACAATCACTTACTTGTATAAAGGATGCATGTTATGACAATCCAAAAACATCAGAACAAATATTTATTGTACCAGCAACAACAAAAAAGCTAAACCACATCCTCAGTGGAAGTTAAAGGTCTATTATCTCATTAAAAGCTCCCTGAAGTAATTCTACATATTTGCTGACAGATCATGTCAGAGAAATTTAATGCAAGTGAAGTGTAAGGAACCACTAGGCAGGAATACAAAATCAAGTAACTGTTGTTACATTGCAATGTAGATACAGTCTCCACATACAAATTCACAATTATGATTTTCCAAATTTTATTTCCAAAAAAACACAAGCCCCCCCCCCCCCCCGAAAATCCCTATGTGGCAGTTTTGTACCTCCTTGCTTAGGAATAGCAAATTAACAGACTGTTTTCAGACACTATTTTGAACAGAATTCACCTATGGCTAGGAAGTAACCAGAATGCTGTCAACTCTCACCACTACTTGCAGATCTTCTGACATAGATGTATGAACTAGAACTTACTCAAACCCATTTTAGGATCTAATTCCCTACCTATTCATCTATTAAGTTGGAGTAATTTAAAACCAAATCCTTAAAGAGTAACAGAGTATGAGTCACCAGTATGCCAGCTTCTGGAGATCATCTGAACAGGGAGTAGACACATCATGCAACTTTTTATTTATAACCATGCCATTAGTAATAAAATGCAATTTCCAGTGTGCACTGGTAGACTACTGCTATGGGAAATAGATCAACCCTTATTTCATATAGTGCTGCTAATGGAATAGATCCATTTTTACATCTCTTTGTGAAACTGATTTCTACATTAACTAGGCATGGAGCATTCTCTGTCAGTAATGAACATGTAAGGAAAACAGTTTAGGAAAAATAACTACGATCTTAATAATAGTCAACGAGTTAGTAAGTTTACCAATGGCATAAATGTACCTAAAATGAATGTACTGCATGTTTTATCCTTTGAGATTTTGTATGTCACATACATTTTAAAAAGCAATTTACACAAGTTTATTTCATTACTGTTGGGAAGAGGATTTTCATCTACAGTTCTTCATGTAATATACATTAAAATAAATGGGGGCGGGGGGGTGTCTGTCATTTTTCTTTTTTTTTCCTGTTCTTTTTTTCTGTTGGATTGTATTGTAACACACTGGAAATGAATGTCTTTCAAATCCACGTGTATGAAATCTACACTACTACCCTCCATCACAGTTTATTAGATATTTTATAGGCTATAAACAGAGACACGAGAAGGTCCATTCCTCCAACACTTACAATGAAGCCTCAACATTTAATTCTTTTGCCAATAGCAAACACTAATACTGTAATATATTCTCAGGTCCAATGAGTAACATGTGTTTAGGTATCTGCTGGTTTGGTGATTAAACAAGTTTATAAATCTCAAAAAGAAGACAGAACTATACCAGAACACTCAAGAATCAAGCAGAGTGCTCAACACTGTATTGTCATGCAATAACTAAAAAGCCACATTTTCTGAAATGTCGTTCATTCCTGAATGAAGAAATAGTCAGAAAAAAACCACAACTGACAGGTACAGTAAAAGAAGTTTTAAATTATTTCAATTCAATAATTATTCAGATTTCCCTCATTTCTGCTGCTAGGTATGTTATCCAATGCAGGATAAGTATGGATCCCCATCCCTCTGACTTGGTAGGAATCTGTACAGCTCAGTGACTGAGAGGGGCTACACAGAAGAGTAAAATTAGCATGAAAAATTGTACTACTATGTGCAGAAGTTTGGCACATTTTCCTCTCTCTAACTGAAGGAGAATGAATGATCTCTAATTTCTAGAAATTGAGACATCTATGCTTTTAAATTAATAAAGCTGAATTGATTTGGTTCTATCTTGATTTGTTTCATTAAAATCAGACACACAGTAAGATATCATCTTGCCTGATACCACTGCAGCACTGTATGTAATCTGTTTTCAGTTAGTGTTTTTCTTTTTCACATTCCTCATTTCTACTTCTACTATTCATCAGAATAACAGGATATAGTCAGTCATGCTGTGCAGATGTATTGATATTTCACATTTGATTGCCTTAATACTAAAGCAGCCATGAAATTTAAGGCAACTGCTCCTTCAGATATTTCTCCCTTGCCTCTGTAGATCATGAGGAGAAATTTGATTTTTCAGACAACCTGCTGTACCAAAGTTTTATTAAGAAAATGGCATTTCTCCTTCATACTAAATACTTACTATTAAACATACAGAAGAACCGATAAGCAAAGGCTGTATGATTATAATTAGGAACACTTACAAAGTTGTGTGAGTGCATGTGCATATTCACATGTATGGATTAAAATAGCATGGGCTAGATTCTGGAAAACAGGGTAAAACTGAACAAATACTTGATAACTATTTTACCTATGTGTCCCTAAAGTGGTGTCAATTAATTTAAACACACTGAACATGTGAAGTTAGATAAAATATTGAAATTTTTGCATAATGAAGCCAAGATACTGTTGAAAATTTTTCACTTATGAGAAAAAGTCACATTCTTGAGACATTTACATTACTGGTAAACATTTTGACTTCTAAAAAAGCTTTGACTATGAACAACATCAAGAAAATTATTTATTTGGAAAGGGATCTTAACTTTCCAAATTAATAGTTTATGTGTATATAAGTATTGAAATAATGGATGAATATAAAATTTGACTTGTGAGTTTTGGAACATATCTTAATGCTGTACATGTGGACTTGGCCCAAAATATGGAATTTCATGAGATTCTATCTAAAAATAAATGTTTACAACCACAGACACACGATGAATGCAAATAAATGTGAATCACAAGTAGACATTGCATAGCATGCCCCTTTATAAATTTAAAAACAAGGTTAGTTTTTTAATCTTAGAAAAGTTTTTTGGGTCCCTATAAACTGCTGGCCATTATCGACAAACGTGGCAGTGGTGGGGAAAACAGATTTTATTTGTGATAACATTCCACTTAAAAGATAATTTTTTTCAGTCCTGGCTTCTAACTTACCTGAAGCAGCTTATTCTTCAAAATCAAATGGTGACACAAATTAGTTAACTTAGTGGCTGCTGGTTCAGTAACAAAGATTCAATAAGTTATTATGGTTTATTAATTAAATCTTATACAGTTTAAAAAAATCTGTATCTAAATGATAAATGAAACAGGACACTTTCTTCAGTCAGAAATCCATAATCTCCTCATTTAGTATGTACTAACATCACACAGACATCCTAATCAAGCAAGATAAAGTGCCATAAATTGCCATATTTCATATCAGTCCAACATATTGCTAAAAAGACTTGAATAGCCTTGACTTTCAGAGACAGTTGTCAAGAGTTTCTACACAAATTTTAGGAAGAACAATAAGATAAAAATACAAAAAAAATTCCCCAAAATGAAATATAAAATGTGTGTGACATTAAATGAGTGAGGCGATTCAAAGATCAGAACAGATGCACTGACAGCTTTTTATCTTGAAAGTCTCATATTCATACTCATACTATGTGAAATAGTGCTGTAGGGCAACAGGATAATCATGGAGTCAGAAGACAAATGAACATGTCAGATAACACAGGGGAAAAATGATGAGGAATGAGGAACTCGGATAATGCTCTCTACCCTGGTTTTAATATTGTTTTCTCTGTAAGATAGTCTCAAAATTCATTATAGTCAATTGTTAGCAGAAAAACAATAAAACCACACTAAAATGGAACAAAAAGTGTGATCATAATGCAATTATTGGCAGAAACAGTCCTGTATTTAAAAGGCTTAGGATTTTTATGCTGAGTAAGAATTTTTTTTCAAGTCAACAGAAGACCTAATCTTATGCAATTTTGAATGAATGCTAGAAAAATTTTTCTCTACTGCATATATAGTCAAAATGTCTCCTATCTTATTTTTCAGCTTTGTGAAAAGCCTGGCAATCTTTCCATAAATATATATTTTTTTTAATTCCTATGAATTATTTTCTGTCTTCTTCACAAAGTCCACTAAAACAAAGCACTCTGCATATGAAAAATAATCTCAAAGAAACAGAAGACAAATGGCAATGAAAGGTTACTTTACATATGTTTCAGATTAGATTTAAAATAATTTAAAGCGTGTTTGCTTCATTATGTTTTGTGACAAATAAAGACCAGTAATGGTCGGTATTTTCTAGAAAATTATGCCATGAAATTATTATTAGCAAAGGAACAACTTTGGCAATGTCCCATTTGACTTTTATTTCTGAACTTCAAAACTTAGAAATTAACTGGTTTTGGTCTGAATTGTGGATAGACATGGTCCTGGGCAACCTGCTCTAGGTGATCTTGCTTGAACAGGGGGTTTGGGCAAGATGACCTCCAGAGATTCCTTACAACCTCAACCATTCTGTGATTCTGTGAAATAAGAAAAATTATGAATGTATAAAACCAGAAAATGATTGCTTGCAAAATAGTTTCCAGCTTCAGTTCTCCTCTGTTATATCTCCTCCTGTTGATCCTATGTGCTTTAGAGCTACCACCAACAAAGATCATGTTCATATTTTTGAACCACATACCTACTAATAGATTATCGATCTCTAAGCATTTTACTTCTTATTGGAGATTATAAAATTATTATAGGAAATTATAACATTACACATTTATTGTGTCTCATATAGCTTAATTTCCTTCTGGGTAAGAACTCATGTTGTCATCTTGTTACTATAGCAAGGCTGAGTATTAGGTTTTCCATTTGGTTTTGCCCTGTTCTGTTTTTTAAATGATCACAGAAGCATTAAGGAAATATTTAGGGGTCTTAAAATAAACAGTACCAGAGAAAGCAGAAAATACTTCTTAGTTATGGAAGAC